AACTTGCCTGCTTTTTTTTCTTCTTCACACAGCCACACACCAAACAAACAGAAAAGGTCTAGCTTTTCATCTGTTGCCTGGTAACATAAGCACCCGATAAAAACAACAGGAAATATTTCACCAAATTCTGGTAAGAGAAGGAGCTAGGGAGCCCACACTTGCCGTGGAATGTGATGAGTTTGGTCAGCAGTTTCCTAAGTCCTTCTCAATTCAGTACACATACCAAGAAGGTGCGACTTTCTCTCACTACTGATCGGATAAGGAGATTTTGAAAGCATAATGTATAATCAACTCAAATTCACTCAAGAATATTTGTGGGCACATTGTAGATAACATAGAGGCTATACAAATATGTGAAGTTGTGCCTTATTCTTGAAATCACTGGACTACTATGCTTCATATATGAAAATATGATTATTTTAACTCCCTTAAAGACTCTACATTTTTTGTTCTTTTTCTACTTTGCTCTATTTCCTTTTAGGCATTTTGTGTGGTACTATCACCTAATGCTAATTTTCATACAAGCACATCGAGCAGACATCCCACTAGTCTCTCCTTTATCCCTCCTTTCCCTCCCAGTCTCCTTCTGTCCCTCTAGATGCTTTTCTCTTCTACTTTTATATTGCAGTTTTATGTCAGAGTATCTATATAAACTCTAGAAATCACAAAGCAAATATACAGCATTTGTCCTTCAGAAGCTGGCTTGATGAAGGGTGTTTGTGATCTCCACTCATTCACCCTCCGGGCATACACCTTTATCCCGACCCCACCATATCTTCAGTCTCACCAAGCCCTTTGCAATTTTATCCTTTATGTCTAAGTAAAAAGATACTACGAGGGTAGAATGAAAGTTTATACTCGGTTTCTTAAAAGCTTATTTACACTTATAATGATGTAGGGAAAACAAGGAAATGTCTAATACCCAGAATCGTTAAGAGGCTAGAAGTAAAGAGGGATCCACAGAAATGGCTTAAAAGGCAGGAGTGTCCTTCAGAGACCTCGATGGTAAGACACTATTGTCTAATTATAGCCCCTGTAGTTTGGGGTGCGGGTGTAGACACAGTCCTATTATGCCAGTGTTAATTGAAACCATGAGAATGTATCTCTTTGGCAGAAGAGCTATTAATTTTCATGGTGCATGTAACCACTTGTGCATTTCTTAAGCACCACAATAGACTCCACCCTTCTAGGCAAAACTACTGCTACAAGCAGGTAACTAACAAAAATGCATCATGAGCCATGTAGCGGCAGGCTATTCGTGAACCGTCTGTTTCTAATGAAGAGGGAGGGTATCTCTGCAGTTGGGATCTTAAGGCTCCAAGGAGTATGCTGAGACTGCTGGGTCCAGCGAATATGAAATGAAGCAAGGAACAAGGAACGAGTCCTTCACTCAAGCAGCGCTCTTCTCTGGGAGGAATGAAAGCTTGCTGATACTGACGGCCCTCTCAATGGCTTTGTGGTAATCAAATCACTGTTCATCTTGGAGGTGCAAAAGAGAGCTGGAAAAACAAGGTATCTACCCACGAGAAAGTGAGACTACCTCTGAGTTAAGCAAGAATTCAGGGAGCAGCCCCAAGGGCCAGGATGCTTCTGCAGCTTGCCTTTAAAGATTTCTTTGTAGCCAGTGGTTTGGATCACCTCAGTTGGCAAAGAGCTTCCCTACTCTGAAAGGCTTTTTCTCAGGTTAGAGGACATTGATTTTATGAAGTACCATAAAACTACATGTTAAATTGTTCTCCTTCCAAGGAGAACAATATATAAACTGGTAGAGAACCAAATTATGAGTTAATCATATCAATTTTCTGCTTACTCGGTTTAAAATATACATTTTTTAACAGTTAGGTCATTTACTACATTCCCCATAGAGCAAACGTTTAAATTCCACTTAACTGGAAGCTACACTTCAAACATTAATCCAGTAAATATTTTCCCAAGTCTGCAACAATACCTGGCATACTGCTACACAGAGACATCCCATGAGATAGATCTGATACAATTCTAATTTTGCCTTCTTTTGATTGAATACATATGTGTTTTACTATTGTTATTCAAATACTACAAACCAACTTAGTTGAAGGTTGTGGTTTTAAAATCAGTCCTTAAGTCGGGAAATTATTCAATAATGAAGCCAAAATAATCCATTTATGTATTTGTTTATTTTCCAGTTACAAGCATAACATTTAATGTAGCTTGATGATATTTTTTAAATAATATTTATTTATTTATTTATTATGTACACAATATTCTGTCTGTGTGTATATCTGCAGGCCAGAAGAGGGCACCAGACCTCATTACAGATGGTTATGAGCCACCATGTGGTTGCTGGGAATTGAACTCAGGACCTTTGGAAGAGCAGGCAATGCTCTTAACCACTTGAGCCATCTCTCCAGCCCCCTTGATGATATTTTTTAACCAACTGGCAAATAATTTTGCCTTGTGTAAATTACAGGATATATCTTGTATTCACTATATACGCATTAAACTATAAACGTTTAGGAAGTCATAAGTAAAAAAATGAATAAAGAAGAGAGCTCAATTCTGAAACAACAACAAAAAACCTTAAGAAGTTACGTTAAAAAGTAGCTTTTCTTCTTGCCCAACTAACAGTAGTACCCATATTTGGTTAATGTAAAGAAAGTTTTTTTTTCAAACAATTGCTTAGGGCGGTATGTACACTCTTATTTTTCTCTGGACAATGTACACATAGCACACAGGTCCACATGTATATACAGGCATTTACAGCACGCATTAACTCCTTCCTGCCCATTCATCTCAGGATGAACATGAAGAATTGCTAAAAGTGGGCAAATGTTGTCAGGTGAACTTTTATGCCAATGGCATGGGCCTCGAAGACTTGTGAACGGTGGACTACTTCCAGACTGAGACCTAAGTATTTCCAAGATTAAAAATGATTTCTGCAGTTGACAGAAGTACAGCATTGAGATTAGTTTTCTAACTACCTTAGATCCATATGCCCCACCAAATATTTGCCACAGACAATGAAGGAATCAGAAGAAGAAGGAGAGGGTGGGCAAAAGTATACTGCAAAGAAATTCCTAACAATTTACAGCCTTGACAGGAGAGAATCAGTTAATTGAATACAATACATATTATTTCCTAAGTCCCAAAAATCAGCATCTATTTTCTGTAACATCCTATTTTTAGATTCATGTGCTTCCCTCTGGTAAACACTGGCTTCCTCTCAACTAAGGTGGCAGGTACATTCTGTGCACTTGGTTGCTCATTAACAGTTAGTGGTCCCTGTTGCCTGGTTATGTTTATTAATACGCATCTGTTGGTTTAGACAGTAAGTGCCTTGGTTTGGATAATAAATGACCTGGTCATCCTAACTCTAAGATGAACTCTGTGATCGTTGATCTGCTGGCTGTTTTCATGTTGACCTTTTGTCTAATCATGAAAACAACTAAATGACAAAAGCAAAAGCCACTATCTGTGCACACAGACAGTGTGTACAGTGTTAACAGTGGCTCACAAATTGGCCACCCACTTGGGAGCCAAAGGAAAAGAGCAGTCTGACCAAGATAACTTTGCTCCAGTATAGATGCTTCTTCCCTGGTATTAAGTCATAAAAGATGTCTGAAGTTAGCTTTCTATTGCTGTAATAGACATGACTAAAAGCAACCTAGGAAAAGTTTGCCTTACATACCCTGGGTCACAGTCCACACTGGGGAAGCCATGGAAGAGTATTACGTACTGGCTTGCTCTCCTGTCCACAGCTTGCTCAGTCTGCTTTCTTACACCATCAGGACCACCTGCCCAAGAGTAGCAGGATCATCCACAGTGAGCTGGGTCCTCGCACATCAGTCATAAAGCTCAGAACACTCAATACCTTCTGCAGTCCCAAATTCCAAAATGCTTCAAGTAAGCCTAGTGGTACAAGATCCTTCACAAGTGTTCTGGAGCTTAAGGTCCACAGCTCAGCAGAAGGAAGAGCACTGGCTACACATCTGCATGGCCCTGGGCTTCTGTTCCCGGAGCTACAGAAACTAAAAACTTGCAAATCTCACTGAAGAGTGAACCATTCCCAATTTAAAATCTTGCTCTGAATTCTACTGCAGGAAATCTAGGAGAGCAAAGCTTCTCTATGGCAGCTAAAGCACATAACTCAGTCTTAAACCAATATAAAAGTCCCCTTTGCTTCGCCTCACGGAGGCTCATGAAGACCCTTCTAAGGTGTCTCCATGGAATACAATCTGAAAAATCCTGGTCTATGTCAACTCATTTAATTTACGAGAGGTTCATTTTTACCAGGTATTAGAACAGTATTGTCTGTACTGGTAATTCTCGAACCAAAGTCATGATCATCATGACCTGAATAGTGCACAGCAATTGTCATGAAAGCTCTGAGCACACTTTATAATAAGGACAAATGCCCATGGATACTAATGATTTCCTAATTGCAACTAGTGGGCTCAAACATGCTCATCCAAAATAACTAGGTGTGGAGCCTGAGGTGGGGAGGATTCTTTTGCACAAAGAGAAAGAACTAAAAACAGATGGGGAATGAGTTGTTAAAATTATTTTTATAATTAAGACTTTGGAGTCAATGTGCATCCCACTTAAGAATGGCTACCAAGGAAACTAGAAAATAACAATGATATATAAAGATATTCATCCTAGCCTGGTGGTGGTGGTGCATGCCTTTAATCCGAGCACTTGGGAGAAAGAGGTAGGTGGAACTCTGTGAGTTCAAGGTCAGCCCAGTCTACAAAGTGAGTTCCAGGATAGCCAAGGTTACACAGAGAAACCCTGTCTCAAGAAACAAAAAATAAATAACAAACAAAAAGAAATCTAGCCCTAGCACTGGTGAGTTAAGTCTAAAGAGTGTGGACAAAATGTGGGAGGTGAGAAACCAAGAAAAGATTGTTAGTAAGCCAACCGAACCCCAATGACTTGTTTTTTAATCTTTCTGCAACCTCCTTTTGACACCAAACAAACCAAAAAAAAATCAAAACCCAAAATACACACAGAGAACTTACCACAGAGACTTTGCTCACTACATCCCTTGCAACTGCTAAGCCTTGAGCAAAAGTCCGGGCTGCAACAAAGGCGCGTGTAACCTGGAGCTTCAGTTTCCGAGGGACATCTCCAAAGGGTTTCAGCTGCTCTGTGTATTTGCTCACGCATTCCAGGTACTCATCTGTAAAATGGTACTGAGAGTTCACCAGGCGAAACATGCGCTCCAGAAGGCGAGCCCAGAAGTCATTGAGCATGTCTCCCAGGTTCACGTTTCCCGCCACATAGTAGCGCTTCAACTCTACGAAGAGATCTTTAAATAGTTCTGAATTTTGCATGTATAAGTGGCCATATGTCTTCACAAACATATCATTCAGGGATTTCTCTGCATTTTCAAGTAGTTCTTTGAAGAATTCTAAAAAGAAAAGCCAAAAAAGGGAGGGAGAAAACATTTAGAAAGGCTGTTTTCTAGTAATTAAATAGCTGAGTGAGGTGAATTTGAAAACTGGAAAATAACTGTGACATTCAGCTGGAAAGCATGTCTGTAGGAAAGTGCACCGCTTCTGAGGGGTCTGCATCTCAAATCTTTGTCATGAAAGGAAGCCTATATCACAACATCATTCTTTCTCATAGAGAACGAGAAGGAAAATTTAAAACAGCAGTTTCTCAGTAATCAGTATAACATTCTGAAATCCCTCAACAAAAACGGCAGGCTGGATATGACAACGGCGTGTAATGCCAGCACTTGGGAGGCAGGAGGATCAGGAGTTCAAGGCCAATCTCAGCTACCCAGTGAAGTTGAGGCTAGACACAAGACTGTCTTAACAAACAAATGAGCAAGGAAGTAAGCCAGAAAAGAGTAGCAGCAGCAATATACATTCAGGTATGGGGTCACAGCCATCATTTGCAGCAACTTTCTTGAGAGCTGCAATTCTTGTCTCCATCCGGGCCCCACCCATCCATGACATTATTCTTGTTCCTCAGGATCGTGGTCAGATCCTAACTGCTGAAGAAGACCTGCCTAGGCCAAGACACATAGCAATCATCCTCCATAATCGTTAATGAAACCAATTATAATATAAGAGTTGGCTAAGGGAAGCAGCCAAGGGTGGTGTAAACCAGAGTTCCCACTGATCAGAGGCTGAGTTAATTGGAACTTAGAGCGCCTATCCAGCAACTGCTTGTAGAGTCTGCTTTCCGGGAAGCTCCTGCTGTCTGAACGTCAGAGAGGAGGCGGTAACCGAGCATTTGTGAACAGGTTTATTTCTGTAATTCCCCATTTGGAAGCTTCAGTGTACATGCGGTGAGGCTCAAGCAGCCGAAACTCCCTGAGTTCACAATTGGCCACAGCTCAGGAGTAGAACTCAGCACTATAATATGCTACGAGCCTCAAGCAGTGTGAACGGTGGGGAAAGCCTAAGACTCCTACTTTGAGGTTTACATGCCATGGTTGAGAAAATAAAAGCCTCCGACGTCCCGTTTACAAAACAGGCCATTCTCTTGCACCCCACATGGCCAATGCTGGCACAAAGTCATGCTCAATATACACAGGCGCTACTAATAATACACGGAGTGACGCTATCGTCGCTCCTAGAATTGATGCCAGCAACCATTTAGAACATCTTTTAACAGACTGGCTTATGTCTTGCCTAATGATGTCGAACATAATCCATCTGGGGGGAACAGAAATGAAGGTCAAGCTGTTGGGAGGTCCGCTGAGAAGGCCTATAGCCTTATAAAACTTGGAGCTGTTTATCCAAAGGGAAATGCTTAACAGCTCTACCTCCCAAGGTTGTGAAACGTCCCAGACATCCACGAGACTGGAAGCAACTACTGGGTGGAAACTAAGGGATGAAACACCATCAGCCATGGGAAGAGAGTTTACACTACCTGGAAGGCGGAATGCTGGAAGCATCGCACACAGCTGAAACTTAGGAATTGGGGCCTCTTCCCTCCTTCCTCCCAAGCACTTTAGCTGCAGACTATTCAATTTCCCAGAGGCCTGGTGGGTGTAAGAACTGAGCTTGGGGACTATAAACACTTCTCAGCTCTAAAATTCAATTATTCCAGTGTAGAAAGTACTGGCTTAACATGGGAAAAACCTGAGTGGAAAGCCAAAGTTGTCCTATCAAAGTATTCTATGTAAATATCCTGCCTTTTAAAAGAGGACATCATGTGCTTCTGGAATTTCTATCGCCAGTCACTTGTCTTCCATCAAATAAACATCCAAAGTTCTTGAAAAGGGTCAAAGGAACTCTGGTTGTGCTATTAAATACCATTAGTTCCTTCTATATAAACAATCAACTGGCTATTGATGAATGAGCTAGAATGGATTCTAGAAGGAACCCACGACCTTGAGAGAGTAGAAGCTCTTTCTATTCAATCCATTTGTTCGGTGCCATAAATCAGCCCCGCGCGTTTACATTATGAGGAAGCTGTCTTTTATACATAAGCACTAATTCCTCCTTCACTATAAACGCTGCATCTCACAGCCTTAGTGTGACATGCCAACACTAAGTTATCACAGCAACTAAATTCCTCAGAAGCCTCTTTTTAAAGTGCTACAGCCCAACCTCTTCTAACTGTTAGGCAAACTGAAGGAGTCATCCATCCGGTCTCTCGCTGCGAGCAAGTATGTAATGAAGAACAGCTAAGTCGGGCGTCTACAAATGGAGGGAAAAGGAGAAACAAAAAAATTCTTCCTGACGATGGGACCTGTTGGCTTGGGACTGTCTACTCCAGCCTCTTCAGTAGTCTGAAAGCCACAGCAGACACTTTCCTCTGCCATGGCATGTCACTCCTGGAGAGCACCTGAAAGAGCATGGGGGCACTAAAAGGTCACATACTCAACTCCTGTTTCGCGGCGGATAGTAAATTACTAAGCTGCCCCTAAGTTAGCAAGCCAGTTGCCAGCTGCAGTCCTCCTTTGGGGCTGTTAGCATATCAAAGAGTGCTAGGGGGCACTGCCAAAGGATCAGTCTTCCCTTTCCAAGGTTAATTTTATTAATGACCTCTCCTAGGGAGAAAATAGAGTGTTTATTCTCTCACGGACCATGAGTTTAGCTAAGTTGCCAGGGACTCAAACTCAGTACCATATACTTAGTACTTCTGCTGGCATCATCCACTGTCCCGCAGCTAGCCAGCTGAACTGAGCACTCTCAGATTACTTTGCATCCAATGGGCCCCCAGAGACGGCTCTGGGCCCACATAAACAAGTAAGCTAGGAAGCTAGAGCAGCCACAACAATCATCTCCATGCTATATTTTGCGTGCAACACTTAACAGGATATTATGTGATATTCATGATCTCATATCAAGAAAAATCATGGCACCAAACCATTTAATTAGTGGTTCTAATTGCATGCATGTTTGTGTGTTCTGTGTTGACACACAAAAAAAGGATGAAGTAAACACAGTGGTGATGGAGGAATATTGATGATCAAAGATGACTGTTTTCAATGTTTCAATTTTTGCTCCCTCAAAATTTTCAATGACGTAAAATTTTTGACTGACACATAACATTTCCACACATTCTTGAGGTAAGATTAATATTTTGATTCACAAATCCATTAGACAATGATCAACTTGGGAGATTAACATATCTGTCACGTTAAACTCCTGTCAATCCTTTTTGCAAGTGTATTCAAATTACTCTCTTCTATTTTGAGATACATACTATGGTCAACCTACTTGGCAATAGCACAGCAGAGCTTTCTCCTCCTAAGCAACTATAATATTTAACCAAGGATTAACCTCTTCCCATTTCTCCTCCCTAATACCCCTCACCAGTCCCTGAATCTACTCTCAACTTCGGTGGGTTTTTTTTTCTTTCTTTTTATTTTTTAAAGCCTCATGTAGTACTTCCACAATGTCACAAATGCTAGGATTTCATTCTTATGGTGGAATAGCATTCTGTGTGTGAACATCAAATTGTCTTCTTCCATTAGTCAGTTGATAGACAAGTGGGGTTCTGAGTCCTGGTCACTGTCAGCAGTGTGGGCAGTTGTGACTTTGCCAGACTGATCTCATTTCTTTTGCTTCTATGTGCAGCAGTAGAACATGGTAGATGATCTCCACTTCACAGTCAGCAGGCTACTCTTAGAATTCATAGTTCCACTCCATTCCATAGTCGCTATGCTGACCCTACAACAGTGTACAGGGCTTCTTCCTCCGTTGTCCTCAGGAGTATTTTATAATCAGAAAAAAATGGTATTCCTTCCCATGTACAGAAGAGTCTTACTTCTTTCACTCGGTTTCATCCGGAGGCCTCAATGCCCTACCTCTTTTTTTATCCCCCCAAATTGTCTAAGGTGAACAGTGTCAAAGAAAAACATCATTTAACAAAATCAGCATTCATTTTTTTTTCATCAAGATAAGTACTTCTTTTGCTGAACAGAATCTTTCTCGCCAGAGCAATTTGAAAATTAGGACAAGTATGTAGAAGACTCCAATTATCTGTAACTCCACAACTTGGAAGTACCAAAAGCTTATTGGATTCTTTGTCTTTTTTCACATGGCCACATGATTGACAGCCCAGTGCTTCCATACTACTGTCGTGTAACACTACGTACTTAACATTTCCTCTAGAATTAAAGCTTCTCCAGGAGGATCATTTTTAATAAGGTGGATATTTTATTTAATTTTTCTAAGATAAAAGATAGTATAATTACATCATTTTCCCTTTCCTTTTCCTCACTCCAAGCCCTCCCATATGTCCCTCCTTGCTCTCTTTCAAACTCATGGTCTCTTTTCTCATTAATTGTTGTTACATGCGTGCATGTGTGTGTATGTATGTGCACACACATGTACAGACATATCCCTAAATATAATATGCTTACTCTGTATAATGTTATTGTATGTGTATTTTCAAGGTAAATCATTTGGTATTGGATAAGCAATTGCTGTGCTCTTCCTTGGAGAAAACTTATTTCTCTCACATGAAACATTTTGGCTTACTTCCAAATTTCAGTAGTCTAATTAATACTGTAACACTGTAAATGTGCACATGTAAATAATACTATAATGTGCATATTAACATTCTACATTAATCTTGATACATATCTACCCTTCCTTAGGATACACACTTAGCAGTCAAAGGATGTGAACATATTTAAATCTTTTAACACGCTGCCAAATCAATCACCTGAAAGGTGTGCCAATGGAATATACTTGATATTTGAGACCTATTTATTTCTAAATTCACAGGGCTCCATCAATTCTCCCAAGGGAGGGGGGGTGACGAAGATGGGCTAGAGTAATGAGCAAGAATGGGCTAGAGCATGACAGCCTGGGAATTCTCTCTGTCAAGCAGATGGAGCCTTACCTGAACAGGTAGCCACCTCAAGGAGGGCTGCAAGGAGGAGCAGCCTTTCAAGTGCCCAGGTTCAGTACACAACAAAATAGTGAAGCCAAAGGT